GATTTAATCTATAGATCTATATTGACTTCAATATTTTCTGTGCAGTGAAAGGATTGAGGCAGCCAAGCAGATGGCAATTCTGCTTGAAGATTGTTTGGCTGATGAGATGAAAGACGGAGTTCAAGAGTTTCAGAAATACGCGGTGGATGATTTGGTGGAAACATGCAACAATAAAAAGATTCTTAATGGTAAGAACCAACAGTTATTTTGCCCTTTTATATATAGCAATATAGAGAATATATGCACACATTTTCACAGCTTTCTTTAACTCTATTCATAATTTTATTATATATATGTTATGAATTATTCTGTTGTTGAAAGAATTGGAGGTGCAATTATTTCATTCATTATTTTAAAATCTTCATCAAAATGTTTCTGCAGACATTTTATGTTAAAAAAATTTGAGCCAAGTTATTATATCCTAATTTTGACCATTAAATTTTGGTATTTCTATTTTACTTGTATTTTGCATCGTAGCTTGCTCTACCTTTTCTTGTTTTGGCGGCATTTTGTATTAGGGTTTTAAAATATTAAATTAATAATATATAAAATATATATATTGGGAAAAGAGATTTTCTGCTGATATTGATTATCTTGAGGAATATGCTATGGTAATGCGGTCGTCGTGGTTAAAATCTTGAAAGTATAATAAAAATAGTGAAGATTAGAAATAGCTTTAATTGAGCTTATTGAATATAAAAAAGATAATTTGAGAAAGGTATGCCTGACTTAAGGCGAAAGAATAAAAATAAAAAGAAAAACTTATTTAAATAATGTACAAAAGGTTTGAGCCGACCTTCGGGAAACAACATGGTTAAAAAATTTAGAACAGTAAATGAATGAAAATAAATATATGTTTAAAAAAAAATAATTGCATTTTAGATTATATAATACAGGGTCCATTATGAAAGTAATGAGCATAATGTTATTGTGACGCGACGATAGATGGCAGCACGGTAAAACCGTAAGAAATGTGGTGGAGGGATAGGCCCTTTCAATCCATCCGGTCGTCAGTTGAGTTCGAGCAGTGTGAGGGGAGATACATGCCTCCGCTTGAAGTGTGTTTTAAACTTTTGTAACACAGCGCGATGGAGCGTTCGCTTGAACAACGATACGCCATAAAGTTTTGCGTGAGGCTTGGAAAAAATGCAACCGAAACATTCCAGATGCTGCAAAAAGCCTTCATGGACGATTGCATTTCAAGATCACATTCTGGGAAGTGGCACAAGGCGTTCAAGGAGGGCCGGGAGGAGATCGCCGACGAACCCCGTTCAGGACGCCCAACAACGGCCAGAACTGACGAGAACGTGGATCGTGTGCTCGAAGTTTTACGTACCGACCGTCGATTAAGCATCCAGCAAATTGCTGACACATTTAACATGTCTACATTTATGGTACATGGGATAGTGACCGAGGATCTGAAAATGCGTAAGGTCTGTGCGAAGCTTGTGCCGAAAGTGTTGACGAAAGACCAGAAGAGTTTTGCGCTGTCAAGAATTGTTGGATTTGATTCAAAATGAACCGGACTTTCTGAACTCTGTAGTAACCGGAGACGAATCCTGGATGTTTGAATACGACCCAGAGTCGAAAAGCTGTGCATGGCACAAAAAATCATCCCCACGTCCCAAGAAAACGCGAAAGAGAAAGTCGCGCATCAAGACAATGATCATTGTCTTCTTTGACATCCGAGGAATAGTCCATTGTGAGTTTGCACCGCAGGGACAAACTGTAAACTCAGCCTTTTACCTGGAGGTGCTCAGGAGATTGAAACGCCGGATCGCACGCGTGAGGACTGACATTAAAGACACGGTCAAGCTCCACCATGATAATGCCACCAGCCACACAGCCTTCATCATTACCAACTTCCTGGCCCGGAGCAACACCCCGGTGATCCCTCACCCCCCTTACAGTCCCGACTTAGCTCCATGTGACTTATTTTTGTTTCCGCGACTCAAGAGAGAGATGAAAGGAAAACATTGGAAAACATGGAAAACATCCAACACCATGTTACAACGTTCCTGAGAAGCATTCCTGTCGAGGAGTTTCGGGGTGCCTTTCAGGCGTGGCAAACGGGTCTCCGCAAGTGTATTGATGCAGGAGGAATGTATTTTGAAGAATATTGAACATTTGCACAAATTACGATCAATAAAAGTATTTTGCCAGTAAATGCTCATTTCTTTCATAATAGACCCTGTATATATATATTTAGTTATCATGACATATACCATCGATAAACAAAAACAAAATTACCTTTTCTTATGTATATGTTGTTTCTTATCCCCTTGTGTGAAGATTACACGAATTTCATGAGTCCATAGATCTCATGGACTGGGGTGTAGGGATGTAGCTTTCTTATATGCATGTTGTTGTATATGCATGTGTGTATATGTGTATGTAAGTATATGTGAAAATAGATAGAAAAATGTCTTTTTTTCCTTCAAGATTATTAAGATTACCACTGAAAATTTGTATATGTAGTTAATACAATATATGGATTGAAAAATAGTGTTTCCAAACTAGAAAATCTGTGTAGTGAATATCATAAATAGAAAACCACAAGCAGGGTTATTTTTAGCTTTATGCCTCAAAGGTCATATTGATAGTCGAAATTAATAAATTTGAAAGAGAATATTCTTTCGAAAAACGGAACATCTGGCTATAAGTAAATTCATAGAAAGCGTTAAAATATATAAATTTCTACTTTGACGTATTATATTCTCAATTATATTATCAAATTGCTATATTATTTTGGAATATACATTCATATTTAATTAAAAAGGCATATATTGGATCAAAATATCATTTATTTTACCAATATTTCAGTTGGCTGAACGCCAACCTTTATCAAGGTGTTATAACATTTTGAAGTGTGTCAACAACAAACTCAGCGCCACATAACGTCAACAGCATTGTTTTAAAAATATTTTGTTATATTCAATGAGGAGAAAAAAAATTCATATATATATTTATATTATGGACAAAATAAATTTTGTAAAATATAGGTGTGAATATTTTGAAAATAAACAATAATGCCTATTTTATAATTAATTTTTTTATAATTAAAATCTTGTTATTTTCAAAATATTCACACCTATATTTCACAAAATTTATTTTGTCCATAATATAAATATATATACCAAATTATTTCTCCCTATTGAATATAACAAAATATTTTTAAAACTTAATGCTGTTGACGTTATGTGGCGCTGAGTTTGTTGTTGACACACTTTAAAATGTTATAACACCTTGATAAAGGTTGGCGTTCAGCCAACTGGAATATTGGTAAAATAAATGATATTTTGATACAATATATGCCTTTTTAATTGAAGATTTATTTATGGATTGCTCTATTTTCAATACATTCATATGTAAAGAAATCCATTATGATGCATTAGTGCGCCATCTGTTATGGAAATTCTAAACTATTATAGACACGTATGATTCTTTTTAAAATAAAACAAAATCTACTGTCCTTGTAATGGCCATCCCATTAGTTTTTTCATTGCAGTAAGGGCAGTAGAAATTGTTTAATTTTTAAAAGAATCATACGCGTCTATAATAGTTTCGAATTTTCATTAAAAAATACATTTATTTATGTTTCAGAGGCTATCAAGGAAGAGACATCTAGTGTAATGGATGAACATATTTATCATAATTGTATGAAAGTAGTGAATTTGGAGTTTGAGGAAATCATGAATGAAGAAAGTGATGATGTATTTTTGCCTCGACTTTGTTGGTAAGTTTCTAGAAATCTCTTTTGAATTCAAAATATTATTTCAGTACTATTTCAACCACTTATATGTTCTGCTAATTATAAATTTTGCAATTATAAATATATGATATATAATTGTTTATAATCACACTGTTGTAAATCTATATATATGTAGATAAAATAATGATAATAATGTTAATATTCAATATTATATTTGATTTATCTATACTTAATATGATATATGATTCACAGATACAATTCTTTCATTGGCCTTGTAGAACGAGAGTGGTGTTTTAGTGAAAGCACAAACATCTTCGATAAAGAGAGGCGAGTTTCTCCTCGAAATATATATTAAACGAATAAAAATATTTATAAATCCAATATATAGAACGACGTTTAACAAATTTTACCGCAAATGTTTATTTTTACAGAATGAAAAATCGTAATTTTAATTATTTAAGGAGAAATAACGACTATTCCTATCCATTGGGATGAAGTATGAAAGGATGAATTGTGAAGAGTAATGATGAATGGAAAAATAAAAGTGCCCAGGGATGGGAATTTTATTTTTCCATTCATCATTACTCTTCACAATTCATTCTTTCATACTTCATCCCTAAGGATAGGAATAGTCGTTATTTATCCTTTAAAAATTAAAATTACGATTTTTCGTTCTGTAAAAAGAAACATTTGAGGTAAAATTTGTTAAACGTCGTTCTATAATCATAGCCGCATTATATTGTATTATGAATCCAATATATACATATTTTCTAAATATATTATGATAATTTTAAGCTAATAATAAAATGCCTGTGCTATGCAGCCTATGGACTACAGCATGGCAGTGTTTCGACCAGGTTATTCCAGGAACTAATGAAGAAGCCCATTCCAGAAATCCTAATCACTTCGACTTCTTTTTCGACCTATTGATGAAGAAGTTTTGTGGTCCAGAGCCTATGAATGAAATCTGCAGTACTGTACCTCCAAAACCTGCTTCCAAAGGAGAAATCATTTTTGTAATGTTGGTGATGAAAGAGTTTAAAGTCTATGGCCTAGAGGCTCCCTGATTATTATTTGTCTGTTAATATATTAATAAAATATTATTGCATCAAAGAATCTGTTTTATTTATATTTCTATTTAATAATTTTAAAAACAACCGCATATGAGTTTCTTTTCAATGAAAAATCAAAATTTATTTCAAGGTGAAATATTGACTATTTCTAACCTTTTTGGATGAAGTATGAAAGGGTGAATTATGAAGAGTAATGATGATCGGAAAAATAAGAGTGTCCAGGGATGGGAATCGAACCCACAATATTCCGCTTACAGGGCAGATACCGGGCTCATGTCCACTAGGCTACCCTTAACGTATTTTTCCGTTCATAAATAATACATATATATATACATAATACATAGTATACATAATTCACCCTTTCATACCTCATCCAAAAAGGTTAGAAATAATCAATATTTCACCTTGAAATAAATTTTGATTTTTCATTGAAAAGAAACTCATGCGGTGTAACTTCAAGTGTTGTTTTACAATCACAAGACGCAGTGTATTATATATATAATAATTTGTAGTTTATATTGCGTTAAAAATTTTGGTATTTAAAGAACACATACATCATATCTCATTATGGTCAATATTTTGTTGTAGCTGAAGATCACCGATACACAAATCTGAAAGGTGGTTTTACCAAGTACCAAATTAAGACCCGAATTTGAATACTGTTATTTGATTTATGAGCAAGATGGAAACAAAGTACACGCTTAGCATGACGACCTGTGGAGCTAAAGATCTGTTAGGCCATTTCTCTTTCTATGAAATCATTATGATAAAGCCAGGGTGGTAATTCTGAGTGATAACTATATAGTATTTTTAGTAGGTAGCATGTGTATATATTGCCACGTTGAAAATTAGGGAAGACAAACTTCAGGATGAGACAGCAATTTATTCGTGGCAAGAACAAACTATGAATGATAAAGGTAAGATAATAAATGAGGGAAGTTTACTGAGTAACAAAATATAAACATAAATAATGATACACTGTTGATATAATAATAAATACTTGGCTACAATATCAAAACTTGATTTTTCTCAATTATTAAATTTGAGTTATAAAAGGTTTATTTTAAAGATGAAATTATTTAAAACCAATGTGTAAAATGGTTATAAAGTCTAACGGTTGATTAAGTATAATAGTTAAAGTTGATAAAATTATTATTAAAAATGTATCATATAAGATTTTTCAGTCATCTAAAATAAATTTATAGTTTTCCGAATTGAAGATTTGAAAATAATTATATAGAAATGGTTTTATTATTTTAGGTTTAATTTCATATAATGAAGTATAATAAATGATTGAAAGACAGACTTAGAATTTAGTGAGATGGTATAAAACTAGAAAACCTTAATAAAATATAAGTTAAGAATTAAAAACTAAATGTTATGAATAAAACGCAAAATGATGTTAATTTTCAGAGGCTAAAAGTGAAATAAAATGCAAATCTACTTGACATTTAATCGGAAATTTAGATTTTAAATTGATTATACTAGCAGTGTACAAAAGTGTTCATTGAATTGGAGTCGGAAAGTTCACACTGGTTGATGTGGCCATGGTCACGTTCTTGTTGATGGTTGGAGAAGCCCAGTCGTGAAGGGAAAGATTCTCGTCGTCAGGTGAAGTGCAAATATTTGCAGCAAGTACTTTGAAATTGTAATGTTTGTTGTCTTTTGATTTATGCCATCTCCCAGAAGTTGGATGCTGTGATGTCTTGTATGTGTTTCGCGAGTTGTTAAACGATGTCCATGGCTGTGTGGCATGTTGATGATCTCCGGCGTCGCTCTGCTCTTCAGGTTCCATCCTCTTTGGGCTGTCCTCGGTATATTCCTGGAGACTGTTTGATATGGTAGGCAGGCTCTCCTGTCGGCTAATTAATGTGGTGTTGAAATCACAATGCAGTCATGGGGCAAAGTGGTTTCAGGCGTCTATGGATAACACAAATGGTAAAGCGGGTTGGATGTCACCTCAGAAAGACGCGGAAGACGCGGACAAGGTCCAGAAGAAGGTAATCTACCTAAGAGGAAGATAAGATCTATTGTTTTCCGTCCGTTTGTCGCTGTCCAATGGCGATTGTAAAACATATTTAATATTTCATGGGAGAAAATGAATAATCTTAACGAAATGGGCGGAAGTAAAACTAACTAACGACTCTAAAATTGAACCCTTGTCTTGTCTTGGTTTATGGTGCGGAAAACTCATTAAAACTTTATTGCTATATTTTGTGATTACATGATAGCCAAGCTGGCGCGTTGATATGTAGGTATATTTTAAGGCCTTTAAACTATTCATGATAATGATATATATAGAAATCTAGTGTATCATGAATCATGAAAATTTCTCTTATAGAATTGTAAATAGTTATAAAACGAAGAGAAAATTTTTTTTATTTTTACTATACATGGGCTACAAGCTTTCGGGCTTCACGCCCTTCGACGGGTACAACATATTGAGAAAAAATAACGCTATATATAGTATCGATATGTGAGGAATCTGCATACATAACCATATACGAGTTAACTATATCAGATTAAGTTATGGAAATAAGGCTTTTTTATAGAAATATTTGACGAAAGTAGGATGTGATGCTAATTAAAAATTAAAATGAAAAACTAAAAATATTTTGACAGATTTAACATAACTAAGACTATTGCAATTTATAGAAGAACATATGATCATCTATGGATGTCAAACAACTTAAACCAATGTGATGTTATATTAAAAAACACCAACAGTGAGGAACTATGGCATGGCCCGCCATCAGCGCGATCATCGGACAAAGGAAAAAAAATTTTATATAGGGGTAGGTGTCTGGGTGGGGGGGTGGTTTGTTTGCGGTGGGATTAACAGTAAGATCAGGGAAAGAAGTGAACGGCCTATAGGTTATTACAAATATCTAAATACTGCGATGGTATGTCGATGTGTCTGTTAATACTATGGTTATTGATGGATAAAATAGCTTCAATGATCAACCTTTGGTACTTGGTATTGACATTAGAGTACAGGGTGGTAGGGGAGGAAAGGTTGAATGAATGGCCGGTGGTGTTAATATGGTTGAAAATGAGCGACCTGTTTGAACCATTGAATTTTCCCTAATCATTAAACAGTTGGCCCGGTCCCAATACCCCCCCCCCCCCCCATTTCATACATAAGTATAAATTTGACCCTTCTTCCGTTAGACCTCCTGCAATTACCAGAAACAGTTGTTTACTTCCCTTTTCCACCCAATCAGTCGCCATCTCCCGCATCCTCAGAGCGCACGGAATTAGCACCCATTTTACTAATAGCAATAGTATCGGCGCCATCCTCAGACACCCTATCACCAGATTACCTAGATCTACCGTTGCTCGGTCCTCTGGTGGCTCGGTCTACTCAGTATCTTGTAACGATTGCAGTGCATCTTACATAGGCGAGACTGGTAGGTCCGTGGCCATCAGGATGACCGAACACGGTAGATGCATTGCCAACAGAGACAACAGGTCGCTCATTTTCAACCATATTAACACCACCGGCCATTCATTCAACCTTTCCTCCCCTACCACCCTGTACTCTAATGTCAATACCAAGTACCAAAGGTTGATCATTGAAGCTATTTTATCCATCAATAACCATAGTATTAACAGACACATCGACATACCATCGCAGTATTTAGATATTTGTAATAACCTATAGGCCGTTCACTTCTTTCCCTGATCTTACTGTTAATCCCACCGCAAACAAACCACCCCCCCACCCAGACACCTACCCCTATATAAAAATTTTTTTCCTTTGTCCGATGATCGCGCTGATGGCGGGCCATGCCATAGTTCCTCACTGTTGGTGTTTTTTAATATAACATCACATTGGTTTAAGTTGTTTGACATCCATAGATGATCATATGTTCTTCTATAAATTGCAATAGTCTTAGTTATGTTAAATCTGTCAAAATATTTTTAGTTTTTCATTTTAATTTTTAATTAGCATCACATCCTACTTTCGTCAAATATTTCTATAAAAAAGCCTTATTTCCATAACTTAATCTGATATAGTTAACTCGTATATGGTTATGTATGCAGATTCCTCACATATCGATACTATATATAGCGTTATTTTTTCTCAATATGTTGTACCCGTCGAAGGGCGTGAAGCCCGAAAGCTTGTAGCCCATGTATAGTAAAAATAAAAAAAAAATTTTCTCTTCGTTTTATAACTATTTACAATCTAGTGTATATTGACACATATTACTACATATATATAATGCTTTTAAAAAATATCAATTCATATTGAAATGTTAGGTAATAAAAAGGCATATACAGCATGACGATACGTCAGCGGTTTATTTGTAAATAGTTTGTTTAGAAAAATCTCTCAGTTTTTTTTTACGATATCGGGAAATATATCTGAATACTTTCCTTATTAAAATAAAAGTGTTCTATGTTTACTTTTTCTCGTCTAACTCATAATCTTGATATGGACCTATTCGAATATGGTCATGAAGCCAAGCCCTCAGGACTGAGTAACATCTGGTAGATACGCTGGAACTGATTCAGTATTCGTTTATCGAAATATAACCATTCTAAAATAACACGGAAACAAAGACCATCACAAATGGATCGAATCCCTAAAAGAAATGTGATTCATTTACAGATGGGCAGACTATATCATCGCCAGAAATGCTGCAATGAAATTTGTGAGTAGAGCCAAGACTTGGTATGACTTGCCCAAACCAAATTTCAACAAATGGTAATCATTTTATTCAAACATTTCTACAAAGAATAATAAAGAATACCTAAGAATCAAAATGCATAGAATGCAAAACCGGAATGAGCCCGTGGTCAGATATGCAGAAGAAATTCTTCTCTTGTCAATATTTTTGACCCATTGATGGATGAAAAGAGAAAATCAAATCTGTAGTGGGTGGTTTAAAAAGAAAAATTCATTAGATCTGTAACGTAATAACCGAAATTTCGAGAAATAATATAAGAAGAAAGTGGAACCCTTATTACCTCAGCCAAGTAAACAAGATCCACAGCCGATACATTCCAGACTTCCAGCAAAGATATTTTCAATATATATATAAGCCTACTTTTAATACTAATTATAAAAGATAATCCTTAAATACTCCCCAAGAATAATTCACCGCTTACAAAATTATAAAAACAAACACGAATAGAAAACTGCAAGAGGCTAGAACTGAGGATGGTAGACCAATATGCTTAAAATGCAATAGGACAGGATACGAGGTGTGTTCAAAAGGTATCGCGACTTTTGAATTTTCGCGGGTTCGTATATTCGAATTTCGATCTTTTAGTGGCTTTATGTTGG